TCTCCCCCATCCCCCAAGCAAGCATGCGAGGGGTGTGTGCATCCCCCCCCCCAAAAAACACCCCAACAGTCCAAAAAATAAAAATAACCTGTGGATTTGGGGTTCCCCCCTCCATTGGGAGGGGGGCGTCCACTGGGGGGGGTCTTAAGTGAAGTTCTTGATGGGGATGTTTTTAGATTATGGGGTGGGGGGGGAACACCATCATCTGCTTTGCTGCAAAATGGGGAGATGGCAGGGTGGGTGGGTGGGCTTCTGCGAGCAAGTGTCCTCTAGAGGTGTGTATGGGGGAGTTCTTCTCTCTTCCCCCCCCCCTCCAGGATGCCAGGGCTGTGTGCATCTCCTTGTGTCTGTCTGCGTCAGAGAGCAGGATGATTCTGGGGGTGGGAGCCCCCCAGATTTGAGGAGGAGGAGGAGGAGATCTGAGTCTCTTCCCCCCCCCCCCAGTTTTTGAAAAGGGGGGTTCCCCCCCCCCCCCAGTTATTTGAAAAGGGGAGGGGTGGCCAGGAGGCTGCGGTGTTCCTGGTGTCCCATTTTCCCCTCCCCCCCTTTCCCAAAGCATTCTGGGAGGAAGAAGAGGGTCTGGCCTATGGCGGGTTGTCCAGCCCCACACCCCAGAGAGCAGCTTTGCCTGGGAATCTGAGCTCCCAGGTTTGGAGGGGCAAGCGGTGGGGGGGGGAGGTAGTTAGATGGGGCTTCGGTAAAGTCCTGCAGAGGGAGTCCAGCATGCTGGAAGCACAAAGGAATGCAATGCCTATCTGGGGACCGGGAGCTTCCGTGATTTTATTTGGGCGGGATGTGGTTTGTGTGTGTTAATTCTACTTCATTTCCCCCTGTTTTATCCTCACAACAACCCTGTGAGGTAGGCTCGGCTGAGAATACACGACTTTGCACTTGTTTATATATTTGTAGCTGGTTTCTCCTCCTTGGGTGGGACTCCCCAAGTGGCTGTAGCGCATCGCTCTCCCCTCTTTTGTTTTCTTACAACAGCCCTGTGAGGGAGGGCAGGCTGAGGGTGTGTGCCTGGCCAGGGGTCGCCCTGCAAGCTTCCATGGCAGTGTTGGGGTTCGAACCCGGCTCTCCCTGGTCTAATGAAGAGCCTGTGTGCGTTTCATTGTTGTGGTTCCCCATCACACCAAATGTCTGCTGGGGAAATGGGAGTTCTTATTTGGGGAGGGAGTTAATATGTACATAGTATGAGGCTAGATGGCCGTCGGTCTGACAGCAATGCTGATTCTGTGAACTTGGGCAGATCATGAGAGGGAGGGCAGGAAGGGTTCCTTCAGTGCTTAGTTCTTGTGGACCTTTCTTGTATGCCCAGGGAAATGCTGATTGCCACTTTGGGGTCAGGAAGCCATCTTTCCCCAGGCCAGTTTGTCTGGAGATCCTGGAGGTTTTTGGTCATCTTCTGGGCATGGAGCAGGGGTCACTGGGTCTGTGTGTGGGGGGAGGTATTTGTGAATTTCCTGCCTTGTAAAGGGGGTTGGACTAGATGACCCTGGAGAGGTCCCTTCCGATGTTCCCTCTAAGCTGTGGAGTCTTGTGAGCAAAAATTCCACTTTGTGAGCTACCGGCATTAAAACTGTGAGCGGGCGATTTGGCCGCTGCATAAATTAGCTTGCTCTGGGGCCGTCCTTCCTGAGTGAAGACGAAAATGTGTGAGCCGGAGGCTGAAAAACTGTGAGCTAGCTCACACTCTCACCTAAGAGGGAACAGTGGTCCCTTCCAACTCTATGATTCTATGCTACCTGGAGGTCTCTACTGACCTAACCATTGAAGAGTCAGATCTCGGTCTCCCCTGTCAAAAAAAGTACTTAGGGGGAATTGTGACGTTTCATATTGTGGGAGGCAGCAAATATATTAGGGTTCCCCTCCCCTCGGTCTTGTGACGGTAAAGGATGTGCATTGATTCCTTTGCTATCTGGTTATGACAGAATTCTGAAATATCTTTATTTTTCCTTTACGGGAGTCTTTGAGGGTCTTGTGGGAGGCAGAGGAACATTTTCAGTGTCCCCCCTCCGCAGTTTTTAGGAACCAGCTGGAAGATGTTTCTGTCTCTTTGGGGAGGGAGGAGCCAGTCCCTCCTTATTTCCAATATTGATTCTTGGAAAGATGAGTCTCCTGTGATTGGCTGCTGATAGAGCTGCGTGCGCTCGCATTGTATTTCTGAGGGTCTCTGAGCAATCCCAAAAGTGCAGCTGCGTTAGCCAGGTCCTCCTGATCAAAGTATGTCAGGCGTTGGCGTGCACTGGGTACTCGGTCCACAGAGTAGGGGAATGGCCCCACACCTAGAACAGCCTTACATCAAGGGGAAGGCGAGGCTTTATCCTTCTTACTGGCATTCTGCCTTTCTGCTTGCAGGGATTTAAGAACATAAGAGAAGCCAGTGTTGGATCAGGCCAACGGCCCATCCAGTCCAACACTCTGTGTCACATAGTGGCCAAAAAGACCAGGTGCCATCAGAAGGCACAGCAGTGGGGCCAGGACACCAGAAGCCCTCCCACTGTTGCCCCCCCCCCCAAGCTCCAAGAATACAGAGCATCCCTTGCCCCAGACATAAGAAGATAAGAAAAGCCAATGTTGGATCAGGCCAGTGGCCCATGCAGTCCAACACTCTGTGTCACACAGTGGCCAAAATTCCCAGGGGCCATCAGGAGGTCCAGTAGTGGGGCCAGGACACTAGAAGCCCTCCCACTGTTGCCCCCCCCCAAGCACCAAGAACACAGAGCATCCCTTGCCCCAGACCGAGAGTTCCTACCTATACTTTGCCACTAATAGCCACTGATGGACCTCTGTTCCATATGTTTAATTCCCTCTTGAAGACGTCCATGCTTGTAACTGCCACCACCCCCTGTGGCAGTGAATTCCACGAGTTCATCACTCTTTGGGTGAAGAAAGACTTCCTTTTATCCGTTCTCACCCGACTGCTCAGCAATTTCATGGAGTGCCCACAAGTTCTTGTATTTAATCACAAACGTACGCAGTCTGCCATGTCCTTCCTCACTGGCCGCATGAGGTGGTACAGTCCCCGCCGAGGTTCACCCCTGGATTCTTCTCCCAGTGTATCCTGGCTCTCGGAGTTTGTTCTGCGGCCCAGGCAGTGTAGGTTTTCCAGGCCCCTTGAGTTCTTCTCCTGCAATGTTGGTATTTATTCATTGTCAGTTTTGTACCCCGCCGAGCAGGCTCAGGGCGGTATTTGGGCCAATCTGTGCTTTCTGAAACGACGCCCAGCTCGTGATGGACGGACTTTCTTTTATTCGTAGGCGATGCTTTTGCCCAGCGACAGGCTCGCTCTCGGCTCTGTGCAGAAGTTAGCAGATGGCCGGGGCTTAACTCTGTTAAAACGTGCCGGAAGTTAATCGCTCGCCAGACTGTGCCGTGGCGGCGTGTGGGGCAGCTGCGGTTGGGGTATCTTGCCATTGAGGGGGAGCGGCTTGTCGAGCCGGCTTTGTGTCGTTGGAGTTTTGGATCCGTTCCATCGGAATAGGTTGTTTAATTCTGTGCATTTCAGAGATATCGGAGTTCAAAGATGCACCTGTCTGTTATCTCTTCAGTTGCGGAGAGATAGAGTAGGGATATTTGGCACATGCTTGGAGACGTCACCACCACCACCAGTGCATGGCCTCTCCTCCTCCTCCACTGCTGCTTTAACTTTAAAATGTATTTACTTCATTCATACCCCTCCTTTCCCCCCAGCAGGGACCCAAAGCAGTTCACGGCAATCTCCTCTCCTCCATTTTATCCTTGCAACAGCCCTGTGAGGTTGGTTAGGCTGCGGGGGTGTGACCGGCCCAAGGTCACCCAGCTTGCTTCCGTGGAATGTGTCGGGATTGGAACCTGGATCTCGCAGATCCTAGTCAGACACTCTGACCACTGCCTCACACTGTCTCTGGAGCTGGCCTTGCCTCCATTTGAATTTTTAAATAACCTTTGAAAGCCGCCCCGCATTTTATTACTGTCCATGTACGGGGCACTTAGAATCATAGCGTTGGAAGGGACCTCCAGGGTCATCTAGTCCAACCCCCTGCACAATGCAGGGAATTCACAAATACCTCCTTCCCAAGCCCTTCAGGCAGTCTTGCATGTTAGCGTCCAAAAGTTAAGTGGGCCGTAAAGAATATATCCCTCCCTCCCCCCACAAGCGGGCTCAGGGCGGGTCCCAACATTTCATTAAGTAAACGTAACAGCATTAAAACGTAAAATGTAAAACCAGATTTAAATCCAGTGGGAGGGAATGGCCGCTATGTGAGGTGGTTCATGGTGCCACCGGCACGATGCTAACGTAG